AAATGGGGATTAGCCCTTGTCTGTCTTCTGGTACTTAGTTACAAGAGCAACCATTCAATCAGCAGTGGCCACATAACATACAGCAATTTTTGTGAAGAAAAATTAACCTCCAGCAAAGGCAATCAGACAAGTCACGATACTCAAGAAAAGTCAAGTTCTCACTTGGAAGCCTTAGAAAAAAGATTTGCTAAAAGTGATGGGGGAAGCTCAGGGTCAGTTTTTCTCATCAAGTTTTTCTTAAACACAGTTACAGGCATTTGCCTCATGGAAATCTCTAACATAATCAGATCTGGCTCTACCTTTGTTGTGGAGCTCAGTCCTAGAATTCCAGCTGCTGCCTTTCTTGGATAAAATGCCTTGGCCCAATTATTTTTATGTGAAGAATTACTGCTACATGGGGCTTAATCTTCCCACTTCCAGTTGCTAGCCATTCTGATGGAAATCTACCAGTCATGATTTTGAGAAAATTTAATTTAGGTTCACTATGATGCTCTCTGAGATCCCGTATCTCTTTCATAGCTGTTTGAGTTTATATCATGCTATTTTTCTTCCTGAAGGGAAAATCGGTTTTTGTTAGTCCCCTCCCCTCTGCATCACTGCTGCCTCCACTATAAATCAATGTGTGGGTGTCCTCATCCATGCCACCGCTGACCACTTGGCTCTGTGTTCTTATAAGAACAGTCCTTGTTCTCTGCCTCATGAGACGCGCCATCAGTGAGGGAGCCACAATGGAGGAGATTGTGGTGAAGACCCAGGTTGCAGTTATGGTGAGAGTGACATCCCCTCCCTGGCAGCTGTTGCAAAATGATAGACCCCAGCACAAGCTACCCTTGACCTATGTGTCACATGTCTGCAAGCCAGATCCAGACAGCAACCACTGAAAGCATCTCTTTAGCCTTTGGCATTAAGAGTTATGTCATTTAGATGGCGGAGCAATGGCTGCTAAATATCTCTTGGCATCCTCACAGGAGCTGTCAAAACTTCTGCTTTGCTTAAGCATCTGCTTTCTTTTCTCTCTCTCTCTCCTCTTCCTTTCTTCCTTCCTTAAGTCAAAGTCCCACTCTGATGCACACAATCTTGGCTCACTGCAGCTCAATCTCCTGGTCTCAGGTGATCTTTCTCCCTGAGTCTCTCAAGTAGCTGAGAATATAAGCATGTGCCACCATGCCCAGCTAATTTTTAAAATTTTTGTAGAGATGAGGTCTCACTTTGTTACCTAGATTGATCTTGAACTCCTGGACTCAAGCAATTCTCCTGCTTTGGCCCTCCAAACTTCTAGGATTACAGGCGTGAGTCACTGCATTTGGCTGCATCTGCTTTCTTATAGATTTGCTCATGTTATATGAGAACCATGGTAAACACACCAGATTAGATAGTCATGAGCTTCAACTTTGTTCTCTGTAGAATTATTCCAAGCAAATCAACCTCCTGCTGGGGACACCTATTTTCTACTTTTGCTTTTTTCTCCCTAAGGACTTCATTTTTTTTGAGTTGGAGTCTCACTCTGTTGCCCAGGCTGGAGTGCAGTGGCACGCTCCCGGCCACCGCAGTCTCACGCTCCCGGCCACCGCAGTCTCAACCTGCTGGGCTCAGGCGATCCTTGCGCCTCAGCCATTCAAGTAGCTGGAACTATAGGCACGCACCGCCATGCCCAGCTAATTTTTTGATTTATTATAGAGACAAGGTCTTACCAAGTTGCCCAGGCTGATTGCAAACCCCTGAACTCAGATAATCCTCTTGCCTTGGCCTCAAGTACTTAATTTTTTTTTTTTTTTGAGTTGGAGTCTCACTCTGTCGCCTAGACTGGAGTGCAGTGGCCGCACCCGGCCACCGCAGACTCGACCTGCTGGGCTCTGGCGATCCTTCCGCCTCAGCCTTCCAAGTAGCCGGAATTACAGGCAAGTGCTACCACGACCGGCTGATTTTTTTATTTATTGTAGAGATGAGGTCTCACTGCCCAGGCAGGTCTCGAACCTGCGGGCTCAGGCAATCCACTCACCTCAGTCTCCCAAAGGCGCGGGATTACAGGCTGAGCCACCGAGCCCGGCTTGTTTCTGCTTTTTGATAAACTCCCATACTATCTTTCTAAGTCATCTCAGGCATTATTTCCCAGGAAAGTCTTTCCTCACCAAGTGAAAAGCAATCATCCTCCCTTCTGCATAGCATTTACTTGGGGAACATTGTTGTGTATCTACTATTTTAATGTGGGCCTTTCCTCCTACATCTGAAGCTGCTGAGGATCAAAGCTCAAGTATTATTTATCTTTATGTCTTCAGAACCCAGGACAGTGTCTAGTATGTGCCTTGTAGGTAATCAATCAGTGATTTTAAGTTGAACTAAACTCAGTTATGTAATCATGGGCCTTGAAAGCTTGTTATCATTACTCTAAAAGGAAAGAAACAAATTGTGAAAGACCAAATTCATATGTGAACTCCTTCACCCATTCACAACCCCATCCCCAGTATATACAATCACACACAATTTAACTGTAGCAACTTAAGAGGCACACTGTGATTGCAAGCAGTGACACACTCAAACTTGAAAATTAAAGCTTCCTGTACAATCTGGTAGTATTACCCGCGAATAGGCTGTTGACTTGTAACTACCTATGTAGAGTTGAAAGCTACCTGTTCACATGTGCGTGCCTGGGAATATGCTAAGTGGCTTCCTCATAAGACTTGGCTTTGTATACCATGGAGATTAAAGAGGTTTAATGAAAGTCAAAATTTAACGTTCACTTCTCTCTCTAACAATTTAGTAGTGAAAATTGACTTTTTCTCAAATCTATTGCTGGGTGGTGATATGGTATCATTGAACTGGGTACAATGGAATCCAATATAAGGCCTTATTAAAAAAAATCAAGCAGATCGACAGATGCTGACTGGATAAACATGGTAATATTTGCATATTGGTGGGGAACACAGGTACAGACCTCTTAAATTGTTTTATGCACAATGATTTCAATACAGGCTTAGTTTGCTCAGATTCTTGCTTCTTTCATGGTTGAAAGGCGTTCCTATTCATCTGAAATAATAATATGCATAATCTGTCAGGGCAGAAAGTTGTTCTCTTTCTTTCTGTAAAGCAATAGCCTGTAGTTTGTGCTACATTCAGCTAAAATGGTGCGAGGTCAGCAGTGAACAGGGATGCTGAGAAAACCCTTCGAGCAGGTAGCTGAGTTCATCAAAGCCCTTTAGATAACCTAAAAAGATGTTTTATGTGTTCTTGATTCACAGAGATGGAAGGGACTTTAGAAATTGAGTGGAAGCCACTTGCCTTGGGCCATGCCACAAAACATTCTTTTGAGCTACATGGGTACGTGGATGTCCATTTTTAAAAGTCATTCCAGAAAGAAGATTCCATTATCAGCATTTATCAATTGCAGTTTTTAATAAACTTCCGTAATAGAAAGATTTCTCTTACATTGCAACATTTTTCATATTGCAATTTCTCTGCCAAGTTATTTTTTCACAGTGAAGATGAAAGAAACCATTCATCAACCCCTTATCACATAACAAATATATAAGGGTCTTCCAAGTGACCACTAGGCATTGTCTTAGTTCTTTTCTCACTGTCATCTTTACTAGTGTCACAATCCCTGCCAAGATCCCCGAATCCACAAATATCAACTTTTAGAGCATATCATTTATGAACACCCAGCAGCATGAGGAATGAAGTGGTGACTACTTGGTCCTGGAGTGTTATGTAGGGTGAATGTTTTTCCAAATTGGATTTGCTTTAAGAAACCAAAATTTATTTAAACATCTATCATATAATAGCCACAGTGCTAATTTGTGTAACCTGTGAGCTATGTTTACTGTAGATCATTCTGCCAGAATAAAATTAATTCGACCTGGGGAAGTAGAGGAGTCCATGTAGGCTTCTCAGAGCTGCAGTCCCCAAAGATGCTGGGTGTAGGGGTTGCAGATTTGGGCAGAAACCACTAGGATCAACAGGCAGCAGATGAAGCCTTTCATATGTGTTTGCTATATCAGTGCTATATCCTCTGTCACCATGGAATTACAGAATACTGGACTAAAAGAAGAGGCAGATTATCTGAGCAAGTCATTTATATCAGGCTGGGTGACAGTTTAGTATCCAGGAAAGATCCTAGTTTTATAACTTACTGACAGTGGGACTTTGAGAAAGTTGCCTAACCTCCATGAACTTCAGTTTCCTTATCTATAAAGAGGGAATATTAATTAGTACATTATAGACTTTTCATGAAAATTAAATGAGATAATGTATGTGAAGTGCTTAGTATGTGATAGCTATTATAAATTTATACAGGTGTTTATTTTTTACCTAGAATTTTCCAGGAATGGAGTTACTATATATACTTTCATGTTTCCTAGTATTTTATCAATTAGGGGATCAAGATTCCTTCCTTGGACTCTACTGAAATCTATCCAGTTTTAGGTGGCTTTGTTGTTGTTGACTTTTGTTCATGCTCTCTAGGGACATAGGTAATTTGTTCCTGACTTTTTGGTTGAATACTAGGAGCAATAATAGGCACGTTTACATATACCATACACACATTATTCCATTTGATCAATCCCTTCCTCCACAAAACCCCACTACAGAGGATAGAACAAGTCTCAGAGATGCAGAGGAAGACCCCCGAGAGCTAACATGGGGAGCGTGAACTCACCCTTTGCTCTCTTCCCTTTCTCCTTTGCTATGCTGCCCCAAGCTACATATTTGACCTTCACTTCTGCAGAACTAAATAATCTCATTGTTTTCAACTTCTCAATCAACTATTGATAAGGAAAATAAGTTAAAATATTATTTTAGAAATATAAACCATGTCATCGATTTCAAATCCTTTTTGAAATGAATAATAATGATGATGTTGGGTTACATGTGAAAGGTGTATTTTAAATATGGGTGGAAAATTAAACCAATGATTAGTAGTAGTAGGTTCAAATTACTTCAGGTTTGGTTAGTTTTGGCCAAGTTAGAAGGATTAATGTTTTCCATATCATCACACCTTTACTTACAGGTTTTACAGGCTTTAACTCAACATGATCCTGGTAGTAGGAGTGTGTATCAAGTCCACCTATGAAATCAACTGAAAATATAACAGCCCAATATGAATAAATGTGTAAATAAAAATATACATAATGTTTAAAGTAGAATACATAGACTACAATTTAACAAAAAAATCTGTTTACCACAAAATGGAAAAATGTTTCATATAAAAACTACTAAAAATATCATCAATGATGCCAAAAAATGGAGAAATTTAAGAAACACACAAAGAACCTCGACTCTTAGGGTCAGCAAAATAAGTGGTTATTGATTTCAGTAAAAAATGAGATAATATTAAATAGAGTGAGGTATTAAATAATGTTTGTCCATAGGCATACAGCCATGCTTTTTCTCTCTTACATAAAAAGAAATACTTTCTCTTCTTGTTGCCAGAATACAACCTTTTCTTTTACGTTTTCATACACAGTTTATTTAGAAAGTAAATTAGAGAGAGAAAGAGAGAGAGGAGAGAAAGAGAGAGAGAGAGTGAGAGAGACAGGAGAGAGAGAGAGAGAGAGAGAGAGAGAGAGAGAGAGAGAGAGAGAGAGAGAGAGAGAGAAAGTCACCTCCCCAAGGTAGGGGAGGGAACCAAAGCTCCAATTTTTTTCTTAACAATATTGATTGCATCATTAGAAAGGCCTTTGAGAAGTCACATAATCTATCGCCATGCCTTCTGTCCTCAAGCCAACCCTAAAAAATAGGATCTGCCTTTTGCAGTGGTTTCATCTCTCCCTGATGGCAGGGTACTTGTCTTGCAATGTGTACAGACTCCTCACCTTTGATTCTGGTGCAGAATATTTTTTTCAATTAATTTTTGTTTTGATCCAAGCCTTAATCTCTTTCTCCCCAATTACAATATACATGGATGATCTTAGTTTGTTTCTTCTGTAGTCTGTTAAAAATATTAATTACTTAAACCAAGTTTTGTCTGTATTATAGCATTCTAATATTAACTGGTATATTTGGAGGTGCTGAATAAGACTGGGGCAATCAAAGGTTTGCCAATTCACTGTGTAGACATGAGCTTTGAAGGCCTGTGGAATACCCAGCAACCAGGTGGCAAGAAACCACCTGCAGCCATTCCCCCTGAGACCAGAAAAGCCTGATGCCTATTCTTTTTCTATCAGATTACGTAAGTTATCTGAACATCACCTTAATGAGAGAAGCAGAGAGAAGGAGATAATCTTTGATAATGAAAATATTTCCCCCAGAGTCGTGCCTAAAGGGGCCATTTAAATGGTCAGATTGGACTAAATTTTTGTCAGATTAGATATTTAATCAAATATCTACCTTCTACCTTGCTGACCAATGGGTGGGATTTTGGAAGCAGAATCCCATTGATTAAAAATTGAATGACCAGATAACTTACAGGGCACTTTTGGAAATTCAAGAGGGTGTTAAAATATGCAAAATTATATATGTATATATATATATATATGTATATAAATATGTATATATATAAATTTGTGAATAAGATGGTTTAATTTTATGACTTGATTCAAATTGTATTTAAAATTCTAAAAGTAAAGATAGCATGTATACATATATGTTAAATGAAAATAAAAGGAATACTTTACATTGATCATTTGAGCACTAAAATGCAACATTAGCAGAATAATTATTTTTCGTATAAGTTTATGTACTTTAATATGCTCTTTATTCATTCCTGTCTTTAATACATTGTATCATTGGTATTTTTTGGAATATATATATTATATGGTAATATATATATGGTTTTAAAATAATATATATGTAGTTTTGCTTTTTATTGGTTTTATTAACTTGTTTACAGTATTCTTAAAATTTATTTATAATATTCTTCAAATTTTCTTTGGGTGGTTAGTGCATTTGAAATTTTGAAATTGTTGACATCTTAAATGAGTCTGTAAACCATGGTCTTTTTCATGGAGGAAGTATTCTTCTTATAGGTGATGGCAAATGCCAAGTAAGTTTGCTAAATGGAGGACAAGTATAATGTTTTTTAGTGCATATATTTCCCAGGTGCTATTATTTTGCCTCCATATAGAGTGTCTTTTTTGGCAAACATTTTACAAGACAAAAACCATAAATTGTATCTATTTATGATTATTTTAATCTATATAGATACTACAAAACCTCAAGCATTCTCAAATAAACTTCTCTTGATTCTAGTGCAGAATAACATTTGTCCAACTAAAAACAGGATCTCCATCAAAAGTCTTTTCTCAAGTCAAGATATTTCAAAAAAGAAGTTAAAAATTAAACCTTGTGCAACTTTTGAGCACTCGTTAGTTAATTTGTCCTCTTTTGCTTTTGTGAGGGTATCTTACAATGTTTTTCTTTCTATAATATTTCAATTATTGCAATTTACTAAAAGCTTTGAAAGCTGATTTTATACTGTGTTTTGGTTTGCTGCATAATCCATTTACGTTTTAAAATTCATCTTGAATGTAATGCAGCTACAATGTAGAAGGTTCATTTATAAAAATACAACCATTGTAAGAAACTTAGACTGCTATAAAAGGTAGTTCTTCAAAGGTTGAAATATCCCTAACTCAGATTGATGAAAGGAAGAAAAAAGAGAAAATGTATTCTGTCATAATGAAATTTTTGTTCATTTTCAATATCAACTTGATCACAACAATATTCTAATTTATTTACTATATGTATGTGTGCATGCATATATATATATAAATTTTGAAAACAATTAGAGTTTTATTTTTATTAGCAAAATATTGCAGATTTATTGGGATACAGTTATAGGTTCTCTGAGCACCAGAATTCCAAATACATTTCTGCTTCATGATTTGTTTTTTAACTAAGTATATTTTGGTTTTTTACTCATATGTTGTGCTGCATCAAAATATGTATCATTTCCAAAAAAACAAGTAATTGTATCTTTAACATTTACTTCTTTTATTGTTGTTTTTTTTTGAGTTGGAGTCTTACTTTGTCACCCAGGCTGGAGTGTGGCACAATCATGGCCACCCAGTGACAACCTGCTGGGCTCTGGAGATCCTTCTGCCTCAGCCTTCCAAGTAACTAGAACTATTGGTGTGCACTACCACATCTTGATTTATGATAGAGATGAGGTCTCGCCAAGTTGCCCAGACTGGCCTTGAACTGAGGGCTTGGGCAATCTACTCGCCTCAGCCTCCTAAAGTGCTGAGATTACAGGCTGAGCCACTAAGCCCAGCCAACACTTACTTCTTAATTACCACATCATTTAAAACAATATTAAAGTTTCATCTTGGATGGAATGAACATCTAAAAGGTTTATGTTGAATCTATGAATTGTATTAAAACAATTAAATCATTATTAAAAATAAATTGTTTGCTATTCTGTTGAAAGGATCTGACGACCTGATATAATACTAGTATTATAAACTGGCATATAATAAAACTGGTATCATTACTTTAAGCCTTTGAGAAATTCATCTACGAATGGATCAAAGCATTAATCTACACTGCCGGGTGCTCTCCACTGACTCTATCAGTTGTGGATGGGTGGGAAGACGGTAGGGGCTACAACTCACAGTGTCTCTTCATCTCCACTTGAGACAAGAAAGAGGTAGCCATCTCTACTACTCTTGCCCAGGACGTATCTTTATTAATGATTTCCTGCATGCTGCCCTTGAAAGGAAGATGCTAGTTATGTTGTATCTTTTAAATGTGGGGGGAAAGAAGGCAGTGTTGTTGGTGTTCTTACAGATGTAATCATATATTAAAAAAATTAAAAAAAAGACTGCTCATGCCTCTCATATGCTTTGACTATGGCAGAAACTAAAGATATTATCTATTTACCCATTCCATATTTTCCTAATACAGTTATTAATTATAGTGTTTCACTTGAAAACTAAAAATATCTAGCATAAAGTCTAAATCACATAAAATGCCAGGGCAACTTGTGTAAACAGAGACTGTTTCAACCAAACTAGGACCTATGGTCACCCCAGTCAGTAGCACTAGGAATGAGCTACATTTTCTCTGCATATTAGAATCCTAATAACATAAATTTTGCAAACTTCTAGAAATAAAATATCTGAAATATCACATATAGGCAAAACAAATTATCAAGATTCTAGAACTAGGCTAGAAAAAATTTATTAAGGAAGAATCATTGAAAAGTAAGTAATGAAGAAACCAAAGACATCAAGAAGTCTTGATGAATGGGACAGAGCAAGAGGCTTTTTGGAACCAGAAGTTTATAAGTCCACAAGATGATGATATTTTTATATTAAAAATTAGTTTGTCATACATTTACCAACTCTTCGCACTTGCTAGAGTGGGATGATAGTTCAAGTAAAGGGGTACATTGAAGTGTACATAGAGAGTGAGTTTACAGATTCTGAAGCCCTTTAAAAAATAATGTCAAATGCTTTAAAAACAATGAAGAAATTTTAAAAATATAATTCTTAAATGACTTGAAAACAACTCAGTAGAAAAGACCTTCAGCTATTAATTATGTGTGCAGAGAGGCAGTCATGGTACACTGATAAGAAAGTAAAGCAGCTATATATTTTAAAATTCACTTTCTTGAGAAAGATTGAAGAAGAGAAGAAAACGGAATTAAGTAATTCTTCAGTGGAAATAAGGGAATGAATTTCAACAAACCACAAAAAGAAACAGAAGAGGCATAGACAGGTTTTCAAGGGTACTAGAAAAGGAAGGACAGAATGGAAACATCCCAGGAAATTTATAAACAGCAACAAGAACACTATCCAGGGATCTTTAGTAAAAGAGACAGAGGGATAGATGGTGTTAGCCTTAGGGACACCATCTTAGACAGTGTCTGTCATTTTGCTGACACAAACCAGAATGGAAGCTTACTAGCTGGGCACTGACCAAGGAGCACATCCTGTTAAGCAGCAGCTGGCCTAACCATAAGACGTCTTCCTTAGCTACCCCCTAGCAACCAACTAACTGCCAAAAATTCCCCACCTGAGATAGTTAATGGCATCTCTTCCCCCAAAACCCTATAAATTGCCCTTAGTCTGTAAGTGGCTTCCGACTCCACTCTTATCTGCTGTTCTCCTCTGCAA